TGCGGCAAGATCCATAGATGTATCTATTCTACTATTGAGGCGTCCGACCTGCTCCACAAGAAGAGAGGATACTTTATAAGCATTTGACTTAAACGTTATAATAAGGCTAATACACAATATAATACAATTTAAATTAACGGCCAAGTAATGTGCTTATAATTCAAGTAAGTGAAATCCGGTCTTTTACGATTCTTCTAACAAGTTCTAATAAAATTTTGGTACTTTAATTAACAAGTAGAGTGCAAATATTACAAGTAATTCATGGTTTGGATCCTAAACTACCTGGACATAAGCATAAATAGTAGCTACGCATGAACTCTCATTACCTCGTGCGTATGTGTCCCCCACAATTAGAGTACATATTAATTTAAATCATCTATGGATAAATTCCCTCTTACAAGGTTAAATAAGAGACTCACCTCGTCTCAAAGCTCACTTTTCAGCCTTAAATTCCCTCTAAAGCCTCAACTCGGTGCCGACTAATCCGAAACTAGTCAAATATTATATAAAATAATCAATACATGTTCAGAAGTTCATATTCTAACTATTAGAGTGATTACCCAACCCCAATTGAAGGATTCCTAAAATTAATCCATGGGCCCGCGTGCATGGGTTCCTGAAATTTTTGAAGAAAGTTGTTTCCCATAACCTCACGAACTTAAATATATAATTTTCACTCAATTCCATAATCATTTTCGTGGTTAAATCCCATTTTATCAAAACCTAAGTTTTTCGGCTAAACCCACAATTTTCATAATTTTTCATGTTAAAATCTACACATAATCTATTTATTAAATTTACATTGGGTAGGAATTACTTACCTTCAATAGATAGGTTGAAATTTCCCTCTTTAAAGCTCTAAAATTGCCCAAGTGTGTAATAAATGAGCTTAAAATAGCCTAAGTCTCACTTTTAAAAGATGTTCTGCCCAGCTGCCTTCTACCCAAATGCGGAAAGGCCTCGCGTTCACGAAAGCAAATGGCCTAGGCCCAAAAAAATTGGCCATTGCGAACGCGGAGGCTTACCTGTCGTGCCCTATGCAAACGCGAAGACTAGTGGTGCCATCCCCACCCGGCTCGCCTTACTGTTCATGAACACGGACCCTATCACGTGAATGTGAAGCACAAAAGTCCCCCAGCCTAATTCCTTTATCGCGAACGCGTGGGTCCTTCACGCAATTCCCCCAGCCCAATTCCTTCATCGCGAACGCGTGGGTCCTTCCGCGTTCGTGAAGAAGGAAATCTTTGGGTTTTCCAACTTAGCTCTGGGTGGTTCGAAATACACCTGAACCCCTCGGAACTCGTCTAAATGCACTTGCAAGTCCATAAATATAATACAGACCTGATCGAACTCTCAAAATGTGTCAAATAACAACTTAAACTAAGAATCGCACCCCAAAACTAAATTAAATCAATTTATGAACTTCAAGTTTTAATTTGCTTCGAACGCGCCGAATCATGCTTAGACTACTCGGAATGACACCAAATTTTGTGTGCAAGTCTTAAATTACCATACGGAACTATTCCCAGGCTCGGAATTCCAAACAGTCCTTGATAACACCAAATCCCACTTCAAACCAAATTTAAAGAACTCTAAAAGCTTTAATGTGTCAACTTTCACTATTAAGCGTTGAAACGCTCCCGAGTCATCCAAAATCCTATCTGAACATACGCCCAAGTCCAAAATTATCATACGAACCTATTAGAACCGTCAAATTCCAGTTCTGAGGTTGTTTACTCATAATGTTGGCCAGAGTCAAACTTACTCAATATATAATATAATTTTCAAAAAAATAACACAATAATATGAGATGAGTCATAACATTGTACTAAATTATTCAACAACAAAGATTATAAAATCGCATAAAATAAATATTGCTAATTAATAAGCCATAATAAAATGAATATAATTTAAAGTACTATATAAGTCAGTGGCGGATTCATGATTTTAAAGTTATGGGTGCTGATCGATAAAAATTCCAAAAGAAGAGAAAAAAGAAATTTAATTGTGGGTGCTCACTCAATATTTATCTACATATTTTTATAATTGCCTCTGCAAATTTACTATATATGATTAAAAGTAATGCCACTGATATAAGTCATGCTAAAATGATTATATCTAATAAGTACTATTAATTACATGACTAAGCACTAAAGAAAAAGATAAACTAAGTTATGCATTTTCATTATAAACCAATGCAAAAATAAAAATAGATATCTAACACTATTGTCATTCTAGTGTTGAACTAAATTTATTTTGTTAGCATTAGTATTGATTTGAACTTTATTTGAGTTACTACATTTATGAGCTATAAAACTTATTGGATCATTTAAGAATGTTAAGTCCAAGCTTGAAATAATATATTACAAGATAAAAATGTAAAAAAGTTTAAGAAATATTTATAAATTACATTACAAATAAATATTTATACGTATAAAATATTTTAAAAATTATTTAAATGTAATATCGGGTTGGTTTGGTTTCGGTTTGATCTCTTTTACTTAAAACCAAACCAAACCAATTATGGTCGGGTTCTTTTCCCCCAATACCAAACCAAATCAAATATTTTTTTTTTCAATTTGACTCAGATTATTGGTTTGGTGCGATTTATTTTGTACACACCTACTCACGACTGTGGCTGCTAAACAGAGACGGTCATGATTTGAAGTTTATGGGTTCTGAACTTATTACGAAACTCATTACTCGTTTTAGTCATTGGGTTCACAATTAAATAGTTATATATATCTTGTAAACTTTTTAATACAAATACAAGATCTTAACAAAAGTTACTGAGATCGTTTGAACCCATATTTTCTTTCACTAGCTCCACAGTACTGCTGCTAGGGCTTTGCCTTTAAGAAAGAGTGAAGTTCACAAATAGGGTCATTTTTCATAACATAGCCGAAATTCGCGCAGTATATAAAATTTAATTGCTCCGGACTCCAACTTTAATCTCGGGTTTGAAGTTACGCTTTAGCAGTTCAAAATTTCAAACTTGAAGATTTGAAGGAGGAAATTTGAAATTTGTCAAATCTGATCACATTTTATGTTTTCTAAAAAAAAAATTGGATATATTTTAAATGATGCCCTCAAAATCGTCTACCTGATGCCATTTCTACTTTAATAAATGAGATTTTTACATTCCTATACTATATAGTAAACTATATTACCTTTCATGCTTAATTTTTGATATAATTATCTTTTATATACTTAATTACTATTTATGTACATTTTAGGGGTTTTAATGGTATTAATTAGTCTCCTAAGTTAATTTTACCGGATATTTCCACTCCCCCCAAATTTCTCTCTCCAAATCCCACCCCTTCACCCACTTATCAAACCTCACCCCACGATTTCCTCTCCAATCACCCACTATTTCCTCTTATAAAACCATCGAAAATCTATAACCCCTCAATCATTGACAAACATTAAAAAGCTTTGAAGCTTTGAATTCGAATTTGAGTTTTCAAAAGACATTGTTTGTTTGGATTGGATGTTGTTGCAAAGAATTAAGAATTCTCTCTACGTCTCTCTCTATCTCTCAATCCCAAATTTCAATAATGTAAAGCAAAGGAAAAGAGAGCATCATTGACAGCCATTAAAAAACTTTGAAACTTTGAATTCAAATTTGGATTTTCAAAAATCATTATTTGTTTGGATTGGGTGTTCTTGCAAATAATTGGGAATATGGTTTGGAGTTTATATCTCAATTTTGAGGGTTTTTGGTGAAGATTAGACTTAGTTTTAGCTGAATTTCAGATTGAAACTCGAAGAAGAAGAAGAAGAAGAAGAAGACGACATGACATACATTATATTGCAGAAATTGTAGTAAAATTGTAGAAAAAATATTCTGTTGTTTATTTATTTTTCTTTTATTCATTTCACTATTGTATGAAAGTTGAACAACATTGTATAAAAATTATATTTAAGTTGTATGATATTGTAGTTGTATATAACTGAGTAGAAATAATGTATGAAAATTGTAAATAAGTTGTATAATATATAATTAGTTATATGAAATTTATTTTTACTATATATAAATTAGATACAAAATATACAAAAGACATATTGTATAAAATTTGTATAGAAGTGGCTATCAACTCTCAAAATAATGCCTTAGTTGCTTTCGATCTCCATCTCCAGAAAGCTTTGAAGTTTTGTCGTATTTTAGTTCCTTGATTACATAAGTTTTTTGTTTATCTATTAAAATCCATATCTTCATCTGAAGCTTGAAGTTCCAAGCTTCAACAATGCCGGTGATATCTCTAATGAGTTCAACATTGTCGTAGTTCAATTTGTGGAATAGGGGGGTGTTAAGCCTTGTGTGCCTTTATTATGTGCCTTTTGCTGTACCTATTTTGGAAGAAATAAAACTGGTTCTAGGTACCAATTATGTTCAGCTGCAATCAGTGGTTTCATCACCTAGCTACGAATAGGGATTTTGGAAACGAGATTAGCTTTCTTCGTCGACGTACACTGCTTTCTGAATGTGGCAAAGATTAGAAGTTTATTATTAAGTAGGTTGAAGACACTAATAATGAATTGGGAGCCTTTTAAGGTGAAATATATATATTTTGTAAATAAAATTTGTGTAGGTAGGGTAATTTACTAAACATGAACATTTAAGGTAATAAAGTTTCCAATAGTGTATAGGAATGAAAAAATCTCGTATTTCCTTCTCGAGGATTATCACATTGGTTAGTACAAAAATGGTTTCATTTTATTCTAATACTCATGTTGGGGTAAGCAATAATATTTTTAATCTACAAAATACACGAGGGACCACTTTAAAGCGTTATTGAGCATAATTTTGCGTCATACGACATAGTAATAACTAATAAATATGTAACGCAAAAAAAGTGCAAAAAAATCAATAAAATCACTACAAGAAATAATTAGGGAGGGTTATTAGGCAATATAAATTTAAAAAAATGAATTGTACATATTATTACTCTTTTTGGTTTGCTTTTCCTGCAAATATTCTCCGTACTCAAAACATCCTTCCCGCGTGAAAAAGGAACCCTGGCCCCATAGCCAAACCCCCTCTTGGACCCCCACTGTCTCCAAAACTGTAATCTTCTTCAAGAAGCAAAAGGGAACCATCAAATTCAGTCAATTCATAATTCACTCACTCACTCTTCTGTTCTAATTTCTTGTATTTCTTTCTTGGGTTGTGTTGTTGATGGTCATTTGGTTCAGAAAGGTTAGTGGGTTTCTCTCATTTTGCATTTTCTCTCAATTGGGTTTCTTAAAGTTTCTATCTTTTTTAAAGTTCTTGATCCAAATTTGCATCCATGATAATTTGCTTCGCTTATTGCTGCATTGTTTATACAGAAAGTGGGTTTCTTTCTCTTGTTATGTGTTTTTCTCATTTGGGTTTCTTAAAGTTTGTATCTTTTTTAAGTATTGATCCCATTTTTTATCAATTGATCATTTGTTTCACTTATGGCTGGCGTTGTTTATGCAGTATTCTGTTTTTACTTTAGTAACAGAAAGTGGGTTATGGAAATTTTCTCGATTGGGTTTCTTAAAGTTTGTACCTTTTTGAAATTCTGATCCAAATTTGCATCAATTGATCATTTGTCCTTAATCAAGGGGAAAATGGGTGAGATTTCGAGAAAGTGAATTAGGCATAATTTTGTTTGATCAACTATTCTTCACATGGTGCTACAACACGATTACTTAATAAAGTTGCAACTATAGAGGTTTGTTTATTTAGGTTTCTTCTTCAGAGAGTATCAAATTTTAGGTTAAGAGATGTGTTCTGAGATTGTTCGACTAGTTATCTGCTAATTGAATGTCTTTAATTCACAGAGCCAGATAAATAAGAGCAATATGGGCACTGAAAGGTTAGTCAGTGACCTTTTGCAGTGAAACAAACATATCTGATAAACAGATGTACCAAAGGAGTCATGGACAAAAAACATGATTAATACCTGAAGATAGTACAAAATACTGATTTGCAGATGTCTGCTTTTCAAATTGTCAATTGGTAAAGAAGAGGAGTTATTGACCCATGTTGTCCTCTACTTCCTTGATTTTTTTCTTCCACGGTGTCTCATCACTGTCTAACTACTGAAATGCAGTGCACTTGTATTTCATCTTCTCGTGCATAATTGGTTAATTTATTTGTTAATGTTTTTTTTTCCTGCACTTAGAAAGTAGAAATGCTTAAGGACCTTTTAGAAGGTTATCCATGCAGTCTAAATGGATAATCAACAAGTCGAATGTACAATCATGAACTATGATTTTCCAGCTCATAGCTGATCCTTCTCAGCAACCTGATGCGTTATTGTATTCTATAAATAGTTAAACATTTTGCTGCCTCATTCGTTGTTCATTTTTCTCCTTTTAGTTAATGTTGGTTATGTTCATTTTTCTCACAAATATTGGGTCATATAACAGGTGAACTTGGATATTGTGTGAACAAGCAAATCCAAAAGTACTTGTGACTCGTTAAAGAAAAGATGGGATCAGAGGGCTCTGAAAAGGATCTCGTAGTGACTCAAATTAGTGTTGGTGGGTTTGACAATGATGTCAATGCGAAAATGCTTTCAGAATATCTGGAAGAACAAGTTGGACAAGTATGGAGATGTAGATTAAAGATTTCAGCCACCCCTCCTGACTCTTACCCAACTTATGACATTGATGCAGAGAGGGTGCATAGAATGAAAGATTACGAAAAAGTGGTACCTCATGCATTCGTTCATTTTGCATCTTCAGAGTCCGCAAAGCATGCTCTGGCTGCTGCTGGGGGTAATGAGCTCATATTAGGAAAGAAGCCTTTGATTGTTAGTTTGGGACCTGAGAATCCCTATCGTCTGAATCAGCGGAGAAGAACTACCATGCCCTTTAGATTTTCAGATGTTAGTGTAGAGTTGGGAGTACTGGTTAGTAAAGATGACTTTGTGGTTGGTTGGAGGGGACCTCGCACTGGTGTTGACTTTTTTGTGGACCCATTCAACGGGGCATGCAGAATACTTTTCACAAAGGATACTGCTTTCTCTTTCAGGGGTGAAGCCAGACATGCCATTATAAAATGCAATTTCAAGATTGAGTTTATGGTAAGGGAAATCAATGAGATAAAGAAATGTAAAGACTTTACGTCTTTGGTAATACTGTTGCAGTTGGCTTCATCTCCATTGGTTTTCTATAGAACTGCTGATGATGATATTGAAGAATCAGTTGCATTTGACTTGTTAGACGATGATGATCAATGGATCCGTACCACAGACATTACAGGTAGTGGAGCCATTGGTAGGTGTAATACCTACCGTATTTCAATTCGACCTCGCAATGGTCCTAGCTTTGAGAAGGCCATGGCATATTTCAGTTTTCGTAGGGTTCCCATGGTAGAAATGTGTAACCGGAAGATGCTCCGGGTGAGGGACGAGCCTGATTTTGGGGTGTCCATGTCAGATCCTTTCTTCTGCTTCCAAAATGAAGGTATAAGCTTTAAGGTCATGTTTCTGGTGAATGCGGTTTTGCACAAAGGCATAGTTAATCAGCATCAAATGACTAATGAATTCTTTTACTTACTTAGAAGTCGTCAGGAGGAGGTTAATTTAGCTGCACTGAAGCACATGTTTTCTTACAAATGGCCTGTCAATGATGCTATTCAGAAGTTAGTAGGCATCCAGAAATGGCTGTTGAAAAACCCTAAACTTCTCGAGAGAACTGGAGAGTTGGATGATATTGTAGAGGTTAGGAGATTGGTTATCACCCCAACCAAAGCATACTGTCTTCCACCGACTGTGGAGCTTTCCAACAGAGTCCTCAGGAATTATAAACATGTTGCAGATCGATTTTTGCGAGTTACATTCATGGACGAGGGCATGCGGAACTTGAATAGGAATGTGCTGACATACTATGCTGCTACCATTGTGAGGGAAATCACATCAAATTCGAATCCCCAGAGAACTGCAATCTTCCAAAGGGTGAAAAGTATTCTGAGTAAAGGATTTCATTTGTGTGGTCGAAAGTACTCCTTTTTGGCATTCTCAGCTAACCAGCTGAGGGATCGTTCTGCCTGGTTTTTTGCAGAAGACCCTAAAATTAGGGTACCCGGCATCATAAGCTGGATGGGGAGGTTCAGTAACAGGAATGTCGCCAAATGTGCAGCTAGGATGGGACAGTGCTTTTCATCAACTTATGCAACAGTGGAAGTCCCTTCAAGGGAGGTTAACTCAGAGCTTCCAGATATTGAAAGAAATGGGTATGTTTTCTCTGATGGAATCGGCATGATATCAGCAGATCTAGCTATAGAAGTTGCAGAGAAGCTGCATTTAAGTGTCAACCCTCCTTCTGCTTATCAGATAAGGTATGCTGGTTGTAAAGGTGTTGTTGCTTGTTGGCCGACAAAGAATGATGGCATCCGCCTTTCTCTGAGGCCAAGTATGAAGAAATTCGACTCAAATCACACTATCCTTGAAATATGCTCTTGGACGAGATTTCAACCTGGTTTCCTGAACCGGCAAATAGTAACCCTGCTCTCTTCCTTGGACGTTAAAGATGGAATATTCTGGGAAATGCAAAAAGAAATGATATCAGGGTTGGATAAAATGCTCGTGGATTCGGACGTGGCTTTTGATGTCATCACAGCTTCATGTGCTGAGGCAGGAAATACTGCAGCTCTAATGTTGAGTGCAGGTTTTAAACCTCAAAGTGAGCCTCATTTAAGAGGGATGCTCTCTAGCATAAGAGCTTCTCAGCTTGGGGACCTCAGGAATAAGGCAAGGATATTTGTTCCTTCGGGAAGGTGGTTGATGGGCTGTTTGGATGAATTAGGTGAGCTTGAGCAAGGCCAATGCTTTATTCAAGTGTCAAGCCCTTCTTTGGAGAATTGTTTTATTAAGCATGGTCCGAAATTTTCTGATATAAAGCAAAATCTTCAAGTAGTAAAGGGCCTTGTTGTAATTGCAAAGAACCCGTGTCTTCATCCTGGGGATGTGAGGATTCTGGAGGCTGTAGATGTTCCTGGTTTACACCATCTCTATGATTGTCTGGTCTTTCCTCAGAAGGGGGATAGGCCACATTCAAATGAAGCATCAGGAAGTGACCTGGATGGTGACCTCTACTTTGTGACTTGGGATGAAAATCTCATCCCACCCAGTAAGAAAAGCTGGATCCCGATGAACTATGAACCTGCGGAAGTCAAACAGTTGGGTCGTCAAGTTAATCATATGGTAGCTACCCGACAATAATTATATTTCTTGCAGCTTTGGTTCATATCTTCCTAATTATTTGGTTAGCTTTCAGATGCTTATACGTTTGTTTTGCAACATAATGTTCATTTGGTTAGAATGTTGATGAAATATTTATAAGCCTTCTAGAAAAGCTACCATTACTTTTTTTAGCTAATATTTATATTTAACAACTGTTTTTATTTTTGTTGCACAAGTAAGATATACTTGTTTCTCACTTTTCTTGTCTTATGAGCCCCAACTTGACGCTTCTCTGATATGTGTATTTTCCTTTTTATGGTAAGCTGTTTGCATTTGATCATATTTAAGTTGTTTAGTTTGTCCGTAGTTGATTTAGTTGTAATAGAAGAGGGAGACTCTTTTTCTGTTGGCACACTCGCTAGAAATAAAAAGATAAAGCTAAAGACACTTGCAAAGATCTTGTGCTCTTCATGGCTCAAATATTTGTTCTATCAGGCTATATTCAAAAATTTGCGCTTGATTAGAAATTTAAGTCTACTTTTTGGAACTTGTTATTGGTTGGATCATTTAACTGGTTGCCTAATATTAGTTTATTTTTTATTTTTCACGCGCCGTATTTATTCAGTTTTAAATATCTTTTGCTCTGTTTACAGGACATAATAGATTTTTTTTCAAAAAACATGGTCCAAGAGAGTCTAGGAGAAATCTGCAACGCACATGTGGTTCATGCTGACCTCAGTGAATTTGGAGCTTTGGATGAGAAGTGCCTAAAATTGGCAGAGCTTGCTGCTCTAGCCGTTGACTTCCCCAAAACTGGAAAACTTGTGACCATGCCGTTTGACCTCAAACCAAAAATGTATCCCGACTTCATGGGGAAAGAGGAATTCCAATCATACAAGTCAAAGAAAATTTTGGGCAAATTGTATAGGCAAGTGAAAGATGTATGTGATACAGAGGGTGAAGTATCTGCTGGACTTGAGCTTGTCCCAAACGACATCCCATATGACTCTAGTCTTGAGATCCCAGGATCCACAGCTTTCATAGACGATGCATGGAACAGCAAATGTTCTTATGATGGTCAGTTGCATGGACTTTTAGGGCAATACAAAGTTAACAGGGAAGAAGAGGTGGTTACTGGACATATATGGTCCATGCCGAAGTACAGTGCTAAGAAGCAAGGGGAATTAAAAGAGAGGCTGAAGCACGCATATAATACGCTGAGGAAGGAGTTCAGGAATGTCTTCGAGCGTATGGATCCTGATTTTGATCTTCTTCCCGATGATGAGAAGAATGATATGTATGAAAGAAAGGCATCTGCATGGTATCAGGTCACCTACAATCCTCATTGGGTTGCTAGATCACTGGAGTTGCAATTGCCAGATGCTATCTCAAGTACTGTAATGCTAAGTTTTGCATGGATTGCAGCAGATTACCTTGCTCGAATTAAAATTAGGCACAGGGGATTGCAGTATTCCGACTCTACCAAGCCAATCAATTCCCTTGGAAGGTATCTTGTTGACAAAATATGATACTCATCAACTCTTTGGCTGCAAGGCCTCTCTGCCATTATCAAACCTGGTTTGATGTCCTTTAGGACCTCCCAATCCTCCTGTTTCCTTACGTTGATCTGTTGTTATATGTAATTTCATCCATGAGTTTGCCTGCTGATACTGGTGATTTGCTTGTTGCCCGAGTTTTCTTGGAATAGTTCTCATATATTTTTGGTTTTTATGAATGTTTTCGCATTTCAGAATTGTCTCATGAGCTTGTAATTTCATTTTTCTTTTATTATTCTTGGTCAGAAAGAAAGAATTTGTCATGTTTAATCATATTAATATGCGATAACAAGGAACAGGAAAAGGACTGAGGATATTTTGTTGCTGTTAAGTTATATATTATCCCATGTCGCCACGTTCGGGGGTAAAAGTCATCCAACAGAGCTTCTTAATTGAACTGCTTTACCTATTGCTTTGAGATTTTGAGTTGGAAGTTCAGATTTTTTTCATATGGTACCAAAGTTAACCACTCAGTTTTGAGCTTATTTTAGTCTCTGTTTGGCATGATGATCTGTAAAGGGTTTTAGGAAATGCAAATCATTTCATACCACATGGTTTGTTGTTAACTAAACAGAAGTGCCCTTCAGTTTTCAACCTTGTTCTTGAAACTCATTTTCTTCCCAAGCCACATGAAATATAGGACACTACTTGTACAGCAGCAATTAATGGGGTCAAGAACTGTCCCAGTGGATTCTAGCTGGTTAGGTGGACCAAGTCTTAAAACCACACATGTCCTATCTGGCCTAAATTTAATGCACTTGTTTCCCATCTAACACAACTCTTTTCCAGGGTTTCTTTCCCTTCCATTGAGCTTTGCACTTTTTCAAATTGTTGGAAATAAGACATAGATGAGAGGAGTCCTAGCCCCTACAAGATTGAGCTCAACAACAACAACCAAGTATAATCACACAAGTGGGGTCTGGAGAGGGTAGTGTGTACGCAGACCTTACCCCTACCCCTACTCTGGGGGATAGAGCCCTACAAGATTGAGCTCTTCTTTCTTATTCATGGACAAGGGGAGGACTTCAAAATATAAATTAGAAAAGGAATTGTCCTACTTATTTTATTTCCTGGTTAGGGGAAAATGGTAGAAATATCAAGTCTGCAAGATATAAAAGAAGGTTCTTGGAGCAATTCATGCAATCTATTTTGTGTTATAGGATTAAATGAGCTTAATTAAGAAATCAGCCACTTTATGGTAGTATTATTACTCATCTTCATATACATACATCTGATCATATAAGGAGTGAGATATGGCCAGTTGAATATTCAACTTTTTTTAGGCCCTATTATTGTAGATTATGGTATTTAGGGAAGACACCTTCAAAGAAGGGGGTTGGTGGGGGGGGGGGGGTTACTATAACTGGTCTAAGGATACCTAATTAACTATGTACTACATCCCACATTTGCTATGATGCTATCATTTAAAGTTGGAAAAAGAGGGAGAGAGATCACTAATAGGTGCAGAAGAAAATGGAGAATTACAATTGAGTAGCTCTTCAACCATCTGCATAGCAGCTCTGTTTTCTTCATCCAACGGCTTACTAATTCCAAGTTCAGAAGAAGATGAAGAGGATGTAGAACCAGAGGATGATGATAGAGACCAAGAATTCATACTGTCATGGCTCTGATGAGGCTCCTCCTTCTTCCCAAGCTCAATTTTTGTTATCCAATTAGAGCCTGAATTTTTTCCTGATCTCTTTTGCCATACTCCAATGTGACAATTATCGTTATCGAGCCTCAGACAGGTCATGGAAGGTGCTGGATCTTTGCAACATTTCCTCAGCTTTGCATTGAGCACAGTGGACAGTGTAGATGCAGAAGATAAGGGGAATTTCTTGTCATTACTGTTGTTACCATGATTCTCCTTTACTATTGGGAAGTTTGTTTTTGCAACTTGACCATTCATCAAGATTGCTGCTTCATCATATGCTCTTGCTGCTTCCTCTGCTGTCTCAAATGTTCCGAGCCATATCCTTTTCTTCCTATAAGCAGAAAGACTTGGTCTCTTAGAACAGAATGAGATCATATACAAAGATTTGGAAATTCAAGAAACATTAAATTGCAGGGGAAAGTTGGCATTTTTATAGCACTAGTAAAGATACAGTTCTATCAGCATTTTCATATCCTGGAGAAANAAAAAAAGACTTTTCAGCCTTGGAGCAATGGTCAAGTTGTCTCTGTGTGACTATAGGTCATGGGTTCGAGAGTGGCTGGGTAGGCCCTTGGGGTGCGGCCTTTTCCCGGATCTTGCCTAAACGCAGGATGCTTTGTGCACCGGGCTACCCTATTTTTTTTTAAAGGGACTTGATCTCTTAGAAGAGAATGAGATCATATATTAGAAATTCAATAAACATTAAATTGTAGAAAATCTTTAAAATAGAGACATTTTTATAGTACTAGTGAAGGAGTGCAACAACATTTTCTTATCCCGGAGAAAACATAGTACTCAAAGCAAAAGAATGTTGAAAATTTAACAAGTAGGAGTTCTTCAGACATGTACATTTTGCATGTACTTATAGTTTTGGTTGTGGGGTGGGTGAGGAGGGGGGGNGTTCTTCTCTGTCACAGATTATTAATATTTGTAAGAAAAATTAAACCTCAAAAAAAAAAAGTTGCAGAAGTTCTGATATAGGGAGACACAGAAATGAATGATGAAATGAGGGTTAGATGAGAAGAATTAAAGCCATCACAGAGAGTGGTGTCGGTAGAGGAGGAAGATGAGTTTAGTAATGGAATTTATAGAGAAGGTAGGTATGTCTACAAAGTACACTATACATCAAATGTTCATTTTCTGGTCCAATAAATATAAATAACTCTCTTACATTGCCGGTCCCCAACCCGAGTAAAGAAAAGTTTTTCGGTAGGTTGCCAGTTAACGTAAAACTAGTCAATTTATGATGATCCTTACGATATACTATAATTTTATTTTACTGTGATGGGCTTAAATGAAGTGACATGAACTGTGATAGATTTATAATAGCTGATAATAACTTTCTGTATATATGTATGTGTGTGTTTATATACAGATGATCACTTGGTTGGGGGGGGAGTGGAGGGAGTTGGAGAGTGCAATAAAGGAGTTCACCTGCTCATCTATAATCTTTTGACTGAACCTTAATATCCATAACTGCATGGGAGTAAATGAGAAAGCAATAATACATAGGACAAAGTTTTTGCCAACATTTGAGTCTGGCTTTATGTGGAAAAAGAAGGAACAGGCTTCTTCTTTCCTTCTCCATTCTCCATCTTTTTCAAACTCTACTGAACTTCTAACTTTAATTACCAATTAATACACACTGTCATCTTTATGGAAACCTAATACTTTCCTCAAGTGTGGATGCCGCTTTCCATTTTTGACATTACTAAGGAATATTTTAAACTCCTAATAACATTTGGTTGGGGGATATGGTGAAATTAAGTAGGAAGGAAAAGGGAGAAAGAGAGGACTTTGATATTTGTCACAAAGATGAAGGGGATCAAATTATCATGTTTTCTAGGAATATTTTCCAAATTGTATTCAGTTGTTAGAACATAGAAAACTTCGAAAATGATTAGTTTCCACCTGTCTTACAAAAGGGAATAGAAGTTGAACAAGAAAAGAAAACCGTCAATGAATAGTGTGAATGTAAGAAAAGAAAGAAGATATAGCCTTGGTGTCAACTTAGCAGTACTGTTTTAGATTACTGTTACTCCATCTTATAAGCTAATTGCGTGGTATAATTATGACAATAAAACTCAGGCTCGCAGTACAACATAATTGTTTGCGTAGGAAATAATATTCACTATTATGTAATTACCTTAAAAGGCAGGTCGGTGCATAAAGTATCTCGTGTTCATGCTGGATCCGAAGAAGGACATCATTTTAAGAGGTATGATGTAGACAATCTATCCTAATACAATTACGTTATTTTCTTTTTCTTTAATTTCGCGATTAAAGTGGGG